CCAAACCTGTTAGGGCTTCCACCTCTTTCTTATTATTCTGCCATTTGATTTCTGCACTCTGAGATCACGCTCACTAGGGAGTCTTTTTCAGTGGTGCCATGTCATTCCCAACCCAGAGAAGATAGCCGCTACAGGGTTTTTCAAGAATGCAGATTCCCTTACTAATGTATTTCTCAATACTTTACTGAAGTGTCCTCTGGGATCTCATGGACAGTGTGGTAGAGGATGTTTCTATAATCAGGTTGTACATGATAAATCTACTTGAGCATTTGCATTTTTCTAAGCATTTGGATATCTTCTACATTTTGCCAGGCAAGTTTGGGCATTTCATCCTTATTCAATGGAGACTCCTTTGGGACTTAAGTTTTACTCAGTGAACAAGCAAACTATTAGAGGTACTTGAAGCTGCTTAAGCAAACATGTTGTTTGGCCCTATCCAAACTTTATGGTCAGACTCACTTCAAATTTATACCTAATCCCTAGGTTTTTGTGGATGTAATTTATGAAAAATCTTATAATTATTTTTGGATATAAGCTTTCTTCTCTCAGTTAAGACATTGTACTTGTTTTCTTGGAGCATGCCTAGATCTCATTTTGGAGGCAATAAGGAATGGTGGGGGTGAGTTTTGAGAGTAGGTATCCATTTCAAGGCAAGTGTCGCAGGTAAGGGTATTGACAGTTTTCAGTCAAGAGGTGGGCTAACCTTTTCACTCATGGGAGGAGGAGCTGTTTCTGCTTACAAAAGAAATTCAGAGAGACTCCAGGGATTCAATATTCTAACCATTCGAGTGCACTCAGGTATCCCCATTTCACATCTTAGGGTCCCACTCCTTCCAAAACAGTGCCTTAACTTTTACAAAAGAGACTTAGAAATTGTATATTCAACTTTCATTGTAATTATGCAAGCTGCAAAATTAAAATTTGGGTCTAGTTCTCAGCAGGATCATACATGTGATTACAGAAATAAGAAACTTTTTTGTTTGTTTTGTTAATCCTCACCTGATGATATTTTTCCATTGATTTTTAGACAGAGTGGAAGAGGCAGGGAGAGACACTGAGAGAGAAACATCAATGTGAGAGAGACACATTGATTGGTTGCCCTCCCACATGGGCCCCAACCCTGATTGGGGTGGGACTGACCCTGCCACCAGAATCAAACCTGGGACCCTTCCACTGAGCCAAACTGGCTAGGGCAGAAACTTTTTAAAGGGCCACTTCAGAAACTCTGTAACTTTCTTATCATGACTTGAAGTGAAAGTTAAAACCCCTAAATATGCCATTTTCTTCTGTAGGCTCTCCATTAGAGTCAGAAGCAGCCAGCCCACAATCCTTGTTGTCATTATTACCACCTTAATGGTCAAGTCAAATCATCATTTGTTCCCCTTAGGCACTTGTTTCAAAGGCATGTGACCATAATTAACTATAAGTGATAATTTAATTAATTATTGTGCCTGTTATGGTATCCCATTGTCCATTGGCAAGGTGCTCAGCAGTACATTGAAGGTCAAGGACCTGAATCCTATGTTTCCTGGGACACTTCCATTAGCAAGAAAATGAAACCACACTAGGGTATTTCAACAGAAGGATTTTAATGAAGTATTGGTGAAATAGGCACAGAAGACTAAAAGAGCAGTAAAAGTAAAACTGAAGTAACATGGATATAATAAGTGCTTCAGAAGTTACCAGCTTAGATCTGGGGACGAAGGGATTAACAGAATTTTGAAGCTCAAAGGAAGTCCTTGGCGCTGAGGATTTGACCTCTGCAGTGCATACTGCCCAGCTACTATTGGTATCTCTGAGGAGATGTCAAGAAGTTGGTTATAAGAGTGCTGAAGAAAAGCAGGAGACGAAGCTGAGGGTTAAACAGATTGAAATGCATGCAACAGGAAGAAGGTAGTTGTTCCCCCTCTCTTCCTAATTACTAATCTTTATTTAGAGTTCCCTATTGGCAGAATCTGTCAGGAAACAATTTGCCAAAGGGAAATATAGGGTGGGGCAAAAGTAGGTTTATAGTTATTTGTATGGAAAAGAATACAATCCTATGTAATAAAAAGCTAATATGCAAATGGACCGAACGGTGGAACAACTGGTCACTATGACATGCACTGACCACCGGGGGCAGATGCTCAACGCAGAAGCTGCCCCTGTTGGTCAGTGTGCTCCCACAGGGGGAACACCGCTCAGCCAGAAGCCGGGCTCACCGCTGGTCAGTGCAACTGTGGTGGCGGGAAACTCTCCAGCCTCTGCTGCAGTCAGACATCCCCCGAGGGCTCCTGGACTGCAAGAGGGCGCAGGACGGACTGAGGGACCCTCTCCCCCCACTCCAGTGCACAAATTTCGGCACCGGGCCTCTAGTAGTTAATAAATAATAGTACAAGAATAAACTGTGTTTTGCGTACTCACAACTGTAAACCTACTTTTGCTCCACCTTGTATATAATTTTGCAGAATCCTATCTCCAGCATCACAGAATAGACTATAGAATGGTGAATTTGGAGTTAATTAAGAAACAAGTCAATGACAGCCTACTAACTTTAGCTGTTTTTTTGATTTCTGAGAAGTTGTGACAAAGTTTAGAGATGTGAAGTATCATCATTGCACAGATTTTAGTTATAGGTACTTAGGAGCTCATTTTGGATTCCAACAGTGACATTCTTTCTTGCTTTGGACATTTTCTCTGTTCCCATATCTTTCTTCCAAGGTTACTTTCCTTGAATCTAACCACTGGGAGAAGGGGTAGATTTTTGTCTGTGGATCAATGATTGCTATAGTATCTGAATCTGGTGAGATCTAAGCTAGTCACTTTCAGACTTTTTGGACTGTGACCTACAATGAGGAATACTTGGAATCTAAATACACATGTGCAAATATGTACCAGAATAAAAAGTTTGATGAAACAATATTTGGTCCTAAGTATTAAGTGACACATCCTTATAATTTCTATTGTATTGTATTGTATTGTATTGTATTGTATTGTATTGTATTGTATTGTATTCTAAAGAGACATATCACCATTCACTAAATCAGTTATATAATCTATAATTTGGTAAACACTGATTAAAGCAATATTGTGAAGTAAATGTAAATATTTTCTCCTGCTTAATTGTATGAACAGTGCTTAACTTGGCATGTTTTGGTCATTCTTTTTGTTGTTTCTATTCTGGTTTCCACCTTATTGCTTTTCCTTAAATTCTGGGTGAGAAGAAAAATGTTTTAGACTGAGCTTGTAGTTCTGGTTGTGATAATGATGTTTCGATGGAAGCGATACATATGTTCCCTTCATTTCTGCTTTTCCCAGTAAGAACAAAAAAGTGACAGTATATGCTAAATTAAGTCAGAGAAAAACCAAATTCTTTGATTGTTATTCCTCATTAGTTTGTCAAATATTTGAGTACCTTCTATATATAAAATCTTGAGCACAGTGCAAAGGATACAATACCAATGTCAGCTTCACCCTTGTGGAGCTTACATTCTAGTGGGGATTTAAATGTCAAATGATTAATTATACAACTAAATACATAGTTATTGATAGTGGTGAGGAATGTGAACTAGCCTGAGGTAGTAAAATATGTTCCGAATTAATAAACATTCAATCTGAGATATGAAGGATAAATACAATTAGCTAGAAAAAACATGGTATTTGGGGATGGGATGGGATGGGATGGGAAGGAAAGAATAGTCTGTATTTGCCAATCAAACACAATCAAGGTGAGACAGAAGAAATGAAAGGCTGTTGTAGCTAGTAGCGTAGAGAGATGGAGGTAGTATAGCAGAAGATAAGACTGGGAAGGTAGATAGGTTCAGATCAAACAGGACCTTGTATGCCACTTTAATTATTTAAGTGAAGCGCAGAGGGAGTATTGAAGAAAATGATATGAAGAGATTTCTGTCTTTAACTTCAGTCTAGTGATATGGAGTGACATGCAGGGGAGATTAGTTAGGACAGTTTTGCATTAGTCAATATAAAAAGTGATTGTGGCTTAGAGGAGGGTGGCAGCTTCAGAGGGGGAGGATGGATGACTTATCTAAAAGATATTTAAGAGGTAACATTGAAAGGACTAGTTAGATGTGGGAGTTGAGAGAGAAGAAAGGGTCAAAGTAATGTTGGAGGTTTCTGGCTTGGGAAGCTGATATGAGTAATATTGGAGAAGGATCATTAATGAGTTACAACTTTGGATAATATTGAGTTTGAGATCTTACTAGGTACCAGGCATTGTGTAAGCTCTCATGCACATTATCTGATTTAATCCTTACAAATATAATACTTTTCTTAGAACCAGGATTTTATTTTTATTTTTTAAGAAGGGAAATATTGGAACATATTTAAATGTTTTTGAGAAGAATCCAAGATAAGGAGATGTTGAAGATACTGGAAAGGAAGGGATAATAATCCATAATGTTAAGCTAACGAGAAGATGGTTTTAGATTTTGCATAGATAGAACAATGTCTTCTTCTATTTTATAAGAAGAGAGAAAGAGTGTGCATATGTGGGTTAGTTTATAGATTTGATTTTTAAAAGTTTAAGGGAATTTTCTCTTGATGGCATCTGTTTTCTCTGCAAAGTAGGAAAAAATATCTTTTATGACCGAGGAGTGAGATGGGGAGAATGGAGGGTTAAGGAAGGTGAAGTTTTGAAATAGTTTTTGTGAAAAGTAGAGTTAATCAAATAATGATTATTTGAGAGTGAGTAAAGATACTGTTCTTAATTCAGAGTTTAAAATAATGTTTTACCAACATCATAACAACAGAAGGCAAAAATCTAATTGAAATGCTATGTATGATACTGCTGATAGACAGAAAAAAGAGGATGGGACAGAGAACAATGTAGTCTTCAGTCATTTGGAAAGATTTTGTGGAGGAAGTAGAACTTAAGGTTAGGTGTGGATGTATAGGTAGGTAAATTTGATAGGAAGAACAGAAAACAAGTATGGAGCAGGTTCTTAGTGATAATTCGTAATGATTTGGTTGATGATAATCCTTTTTTAATGTTAATATTTCAGTGACTATGGAAGTGAAACTATATCAGGACCTGCATTTGACCCAGCAAGTCACCCAGCTCCAGCTCCTGCTCCCTCTTCCTCCTCGGCATTTCGACCTGTAATGCCATCTAGGCAAATTGTAGAAAGACAACCTCGGATGCTGGACTTCAGGGTTGAATACAGAGACAGAAATGTTGATGTGGTACTTGAAGACAGCTGTACTGTTGGTAAGGTTTTCCCTATCACAAAGCCTTCATAAGTTAATAGTACAGTAGGTAAACATTCAGTTTATATAATTTTTCTGAGTTGACTGCCAACAAGGAGAACAAAAAGCGAATGGGATGGGATGGGAAGGGAAGAATAGTCTGTTTGCCAATGAAACGCAATCATTTTTCTCATACAGATTATTGTGCTCTGTTTTTAAATACTGTGTTGAGATTGAGGTGAATTTGAGAATAATTTTTTTGTTCCACATATATGATGCTGTTTTAGCACAGGTGCAAATCAAACATCTAGGAGTTTAAGAAATGCCATAATTATTAGGTACAATGAATATAGGACTTTATAGCTGAAGTTCACTTTACTTTTCATACTATGAGAGAAGAAATAAGACATATTTTTATCACTCCTTCTCTCTGCCAGCTGGATAAATACTTCAGTACTATTCTTTCAAAGGAAACTCAGAGTGTATGCCTGCCATCTGTAGAGAAGCTATGTTGAACTCATGTTTAGTTTAGATTATTTGAAACATATTCATTGTAGAACCAGAAGTTATATTAATTTCTATTTTAATATAGTTTTGCCTTAAATCTAAATACCAGATATTTCTGAAATTTTGTCTTTGTTCCTTTTTGAAGAGATTCTTTCCTAATTTTATTAATTTATTACAGAGAAAAGCAAGGCTGTTAAAAGTATGATCATTCCCAAACATGAATCAGATTGTTATCCTTTACTTAAAGCCATTTAAAAACTTTCCATTGTTTTTAAAAATTCAAATCTTTTAACAGGGCTGTAAGTCCCTGCTACATTTCTAGTTTTCATCTGTTATCACTCTCTTTATAGCTCACTATGTCTAAGTTGTAATGGACTTACTCAGTTTTTTTAATAGGTTCAGGACCTATGTACTTGTTCCTTCTTATGCCTAGATTCCTCTCCTAGTCCAGCCATTTCTTCCCATGCCCATCCCTGTGCCCTCAATTATTCTCTTATACATTCCGTTAAAAAATTGTGGTTAAAGCCCTAACTGGTTTGGCTCAGTGGATACAGCGTCGGCCTGCGGACTCAAGGGTCCCAGGTTCGATTCCGGTCAAGGGCATGTACCTTGGTTGCGGGCACATCCCTAGTGGGGAGTGTGCAGGAGGCAGCTGATCGGTGTTTCTCTCTCATCGATGTTTCTAACTCTCTATCCTTCTCCCTTCCTCTGTGTAAAAAATCAATAAAATATATTTTTAAAAAATTGTGGTTAAAAACCCCCCCCACATAACATGAGATTTAAGTTCTTAACAAAATTTTAAGTGTGCAGGATAGTTTTGTGAACTATGTACACATTGTTGTACAGCAGATCTGTAGAACTTTGTATAACTGAAACATTGTATACACTGAACAACAACTTTCCATTTTCCTCTTTGGCCAGCCTTTGGCAATGATCATTCTACATTCTGTTTCTATAAGTTTGATCACTTTAACTGCCTCATATAAATGAAATCATACAGTATTTGTCCTTCTATGTCTGGCTTATTTCACTTAGTATGATATCCTCAAGGTTTATTTGTATTGTAGTATATTATGGGATTTCCTCCTTTTTTAAAGGCTGAATGATAGTCCATTGTATGTATATGTCACATTTTCTTCATTCATTCATCTGTTGATGGACAGGTTGTTTCCACCTCTTGGCTATTGTGAATAATTCTGTAGTGAACATGTAATTGCATATCTCTTTTAAGTCCCCTCTTTCCATTATTTTGGATAAATTCCCAGAATTGGAATTGCTGGATCATGTTAGTTCTATTTTTAATTTTTTAAAGAACTTCTGTACTCTTTTTTCATAGTAGCTGCTTCATTTTGCATTCCCACCAATAGTGCTCAGGGATTCCAACTTTTCATCCTTGCAAACACTGCTGTTTTTCGGTTTTTAGTTTTTAATTGTTATTGTTTTGTTTTTAAATATTATGGCCATCTTATGAGGTAGAAGATGATATCTCATTTTGGTTTTGGTTTGGATTTTCACGATAATTGGTAATGTTGAGCATTTTTTCACATACCTGTTGGTCATTTGTATGTCTTCTTTGGAGAAATGTCTGTTCAGGTCCCTTGCCCATTTTTAAATTGTGCTGTTTACTTTTTTGCTATTGAACTGTAGGACTTCTTTATGTATTTTGGATCTTAACTTCTGTCACATATATGGTTTGCACATTTTTTCTCCTGTTCTGAATGTTACCTTTTCACTCTGTTGATTGTTTCCTTTGCTTTAGAGAAGATTTTTGGTAATCTCACTTAGTATGATACCTTTGTTGTCTATGCTTCTGATGTCATATCCAATAAATCATTCCCAAGACCAGTGCTATGGAGTTTTTTTCTAGGAATTATATAGTTTCAGAGCATACATTTAAGTATTTAATTTGAGTTAATTTTTGTGTATAGTATAAGGTAAAGGTCCAACCTTATTCTTTTGCGTGTAGATACCCAGTTTTCCCTGCATGATTTATTAAAAGAGACTATCTTTTCCCCATTGTGTAGACTTGTCTGTATTTTACATAATTTCCCTATAGTGATCTTTCTAGAGAATAAATCTTCCTATATATTTTTCAGTGATTTCCCTGTTTCCTATATTCTATTTCATTTGTCCTTTCCTGTTTTAGTTTTTTAGAAAACCAATAGTCATCTTTGATTATCTCATGTAAATTTTTCCCCTTATGGAGCCTTTCTTGACTTCCATGGACATAGTTTAGTTGGTTTGTCTCCTATGATTCCATAAAAAGTAATAGAGACTTTTAAAATGGATTTTAAAATATCTTACTCTTTCTTTATGTTTCAGGTTTCTCTTTTTAAAGACCAGGTCTTATTCTTCTACAAATTCTCTCTCTAAGCACAGTGTTTGGCACCAAGCAGTACCTGTTGAGAAATTAAATGGCTCAATAAATGAGTATATGTATATATTTATATGTACATTAATTCATCTGCCATAGGAAATTTAAAAAATATTATAGTTTTTGTGACCTGTAATATAATTGTTAGTTTTTAGATATAGTTCATCTTACTGTTATTTAAAGAACTGGATAAATACTAATTTTTCTGTATATGTGTCAATGTAAAAATGCAAAAAGATGCTATAAAGAAAATGCAGTTTTCTATGTTATTGGAAAGACTAGGAAAAGACCAAGTATAAAAGCAAGCCTAAAGACAGCTAAGAACTTTATATCAGAGTGACACCTAGTGGCAATTGTATTGGTCTGTTAATGTTTTTAGTGTTCTGTTGTTGCTGCAGTTTCATTTTATTATAATATACTTCTATTTAAAAAAATATCTTGAATAAATTAAAAACATTTTTTTAAATTATTGGTTTTTCTATGAAATTACTATTTTGTGTGAAGTAGTGTGATATTGAGGGTAGGAATTATTGTGTATTATAACTATAAGATCTAGCAGTGAATTGGATTTAACCTAACAAACAAGTATTTGTCCAATAAAGTTAGTTGAATCAGTGCTGTCAGCAAACTTTGGCTGGGCTCACTTAGCATAGCCTTAGTTTCATTTCTGGAATACAGCAGAAAAATAGGTCTGTTATTAGTTGAACCATTTGCCTTATTTTTTTTGTCCTTTCTGTTTTTAATCTAATTTCTGAAAACTACCTTTATTATATTGGATACATTTTAGTTTAAAACAGTGGTTCTCAACCTTCCTAATGCTGCGACCCTTTAATACAGTTCCTCATGTTGTGGTGACCCCCAATTTCATTGTTACAAATTAAACATAATTAAAGCATAGTGATTAATCACAAAAACAATATGTAATTATATATGTGTTTTCCGATGGTCTTAGGCGACCCCTGTGGAAGGGTCGTTCGACCCCCAAAGGGGTTGCGACCCATAGACTGAGAACCGCTGGTTTAAAAGAATCAATATATATTGAGTGTGGAAATAGTTAAGACATTTAATTTAGCAAGTGCATTTTGAGCTTGAAAAAATAGTTCAGGATATTTCAAATGAATTTTTGTCTTGAATCTGTAAACTTAGTTTCTGTTTTTGTTTGTTTTTTAAAAGGGGAGAATGATGATTGTTATTTTTATTTTAATATATTTTATTGATTTTTTACAGAGAGGAAGGGAGAGGGATAGAGAGTTAGAAACATCGATGAGAGAGAAACATCGATCAGCTGCCTCCTCCACTCCCCACTGGGGATGTGCCCGCAACCAAGGTACATGCCCTTGACCGGAATCGAACCTGGGGCCCTTGAGTCCACAGGCTGACGCTCTATCCACTGTGCCAAACCGGTTAGGGCTAGACTCTGTAACTTAGATTAACTGTAATTTTTAGCACATGCCTTAAACCTTCTGTGCCTAGCAACTCTTTATGAGTCGTAAGCAAAATATAAGAGGTTGGTTTTTGCTATCAGTACATGTGAAAAGAAGGAAAGAGCAAGAATCTTATTCTGCCTTGTACAGATGTTGGGAGTATGAAAAGACAATCATAGCTTGTATTTTTGGGGAGGAAAGACAGCAAATGTGCATTAGTAACATTGTTCTTTGGTTCATTTATAAGTGTCTATTGACTCTATGCCAACAATTATGTACTCCCCAGATTATATTTAAAATCATTAAAAAATCTAAATAAGCATCATCTCAAACTGTGGTCTTAATGGGTATAGTTTATTTTTATTTATATATTAGAAATGTTTCTTTACTCTAGCTTTACATTTTAAAATATGTACTTTGAGTAAAACTTTTTTAAAATAGAGAAGTATAGAAAGAGCAATGAGTATTTTGCCCTTTTCTCATTCTTAATTCCCTATTATCAGTTTTATTTATAGTTTAATATTGCTGTTTTATAGAAGGCCTTTAAAGTTAATGTTCTTTCAACTACTTTTATCTCTCATGTCACCTTTGTTGTCTTATATTTAAAGCAAGGCAGTGAAGATCAGAACCTTGATTTATGTTTTTTGACATCTATACTTCCTGCCATTCATCTTTAGACTCTTCTTTCTTTGATACTTCCCTATAATTTTTGATTCT